ATGAGAATACATGTGTATATATATTAACTTGCAAAATTGTGTACTACAGATAAGTAGATGCAGTTTATTACATGACAGTTATACCTCAAGAAAACTATTTAAAAAATTTTTGCTGATGACTAAAAATATTGGTCTTATTTTGATGTTCATACATATTTCCATGACTTACTGAAGTTGAACATTTTTATTATATTACCATTTGTATTTCATCTTCTGTGAATTGTTAAGTTATATATCCTTTGTTGCAGGATGTGTGTGCTTGTGCGCATGTGTGTGTGCCTTGTCTGGTCAACTTGAATAACTCATTCTTCCATCAGTGGTAATAATCCATTGTGTGTCTTCCCTTTGCTAATATTTTATCCCAGTTGATTTTTTCTTTTGACTTTAAAATCTGCTTCTCGCCCTGCTTCTCTTCCCGCCTCCCTCTTTTCTTTTTTCCCTAACCAATGTAACCAAAGCTGTCATTCCCCACCCCCCGAATTCGGGTTTTAGGTGTACTGTTTTAAAAATTTCCCACATCCTATTTGTACTTCCAAGTATTCCCATGTTTCCCACTTTTGTATTAGGCTTTATTCTTCAGGAATTTTTTTCTGGCATGGCAGATGAGCTGGGGGGGAATATTTTATTTTTTTGCTGATAGGTGTTCAACTTTTGCAAATAACAGTAATGTTCTTCTATTACTTTTATATATAAACTTGAATCTGTTGAGGATTGTCAGTATTCCCTTGATCACTTTGTGTATCCTGTTTAATTTACAGTAGTTTTATGAAAAGTTTTAAAACGGGGCTGGGGATGTGGCTCAAGCAGTAGTGCGCTCGCCTGGTGTATGTGCGGCCCGGGTTCGATCCTCAGCACCACATACAAACAAAGATGTTGTGTCTGCCAAGAACTAAAAAATAAATATTAAAAAAAAAAAAAGTTTTAAAACAAGTTTTAATTTTTTTTTTTTTTTTACTTTCAAACTTTCCTGGTAGTATTCCCTCTACAAATTAGAAATTAGAAAAATGTGGGCTGGAGCTGAGCACTTGCCTAGCATGGGTGAGGCACTAGTTTCAATCCTTAGCACTACATACAAAAAAACCAAAAACAAATAAAATAAAGGCATACTGTCCATCTACAACTACAAGGAGGGAAAAAAAGGAAAGAAAAATATTTAGTCCACTTTCTTCCCTGTACATCATTTGTTTCTGGTCGGGAAAGAAATTAAGTGTGCATTTTATTTTGGGACTGATTTAACATTTTTACATTAAGAGTTCCTTCAAAAAATGTAACTATTATTTATTATTCTTGTTTTATTTTATATATTGAATGTTACAAATTTTGTCACTATTTTGAATGTTTATTGCTATTTTTAAGTAATTATATAATAAATCTTAAGAATTTTGTATTACTTAATCTGCTACTTTGTATGTAGTTAATTCTTTTGATGTTTTGAAATACATGTCATATTTGTAAGGACACCTGGTCTCTATGATTTTTATTTCCATTTCAATTGTGTTATTATTTATAAAATAAAATAATAGTGATGGGTGCAGTAGTCTTTTGTTAATAAGTGACAGTATTTCATAGCTTATGTTTATTGGTGGCTTTTTATTGTCTTATTTTTCTTTTCTGGTATAAATAAGATACAATGATATTTATCAGATATTTAGTTTAATGAGTTTTAACAATTTGATAAATCTGTATAATCCCCACTCATAATACATTTTCATCACTGTAGAATGTTCCAGTATATCAGATTTCAACCAGTGCTTCCCCACCCCTAAACAGAGGCCAGTAGATTCTCATATCTGCCCTATAGATTAGATCTTCCTATGCTTAGACTTTATGAGTAAAATTATATAGTATGTAATTTTTTATGTCTGGCTTCTTCATTTAACTCAGTGTTAAGATTTATCCAACTTTCAAGAAGCAGTCCATTTTGTGAATAACCCACACTTTCTTTACCCATTCTCTTGTTGAAGTACAGTTGTTTTCAATGAGAGCTATTATAAATGAGGTTTCCAAGAACATTCCTGTACAGATGTTTTTGAAGACATGCTTTCATTTCTTTTAGGTAAATACAAAAAATGGGTTTTTTATTTTTATTTTTTCCTTTTTCCCCCCTCCTTCCTCTTTGTGGTACTGGGGATTGAACTCAGAGCTACATCACGAGCTATTTTTGCTTTTTGTTTTGGGATAACATCTCAGTAGGTTGCTGAGACTGGCCTTAAACTTGCCATCCTCTTGCCTCAGTCTCCCAAGTTAGGGAGGATTACAAGTATGTGCCACCATGCCCAAGGGAATCTTTTGACATCATAAACAACAGAACATTTCTGTAAAGTGGATATACATTTTACATGTCCACAGCAGTGTGTGAAAGTTCCTCACTACATCCTTGTCCACATTGGATGTTTCCAGTCTTTTAATTTAGCCACTCCAGCAGTAGTGGAATGGTATCTCATTTTGGTTTGTGTTTCATGTCTCTGATGGCTAATGTTGAGCCTCACCCATTCATGTATTTTTCTGCCCATTTGTAGATCTTTTAGTGGAAAATAGCTGCCAAAAGTCTTTAGCCTATTTTTAAAAAAATGCTTTATTATGACATAACAGTGCTTTATAAATCCTGGGTATATGTCCTTTATTGGATGTAGGTATTATGCATATTGTCTCCCAGTGTCTGTCTTGTCTTTTTATTATCTTATTGATATCTTTCAAATAGCAGTTGTTTAATTTTGGTATGTTCAATTTATCAATTTTTAATGGTTCTTGCTTTTATGTCCTAAGCTATTCCAGAGATGTGAAGATTTTCCTGTGTGTTTCTAGAAGTTTTATAGTTTTAGTTCTTATATTTAGATCTATTATTTCTTTCAAGTTTACCATTGTATATTTGGGGTAGAGTTAGGGCTTATTTTTTTCATCAAGTATTCAGTTATTCCTTTGTTAGATTTTCCTTTTCCCATTGGATTCACCTCTCATTGACAGTATATGCCCATGTCTGTTTCTGGATTCTTTTGTTTTGTTTATCTACTTGTTCATCCTTAAACCAGTGTTATACTAGTTTGATACTGTAGCTTTAAAGTAAGTCTTGGTTGAAATCAGGTAGTGAAGTTTTTGTTCTTTTTCAAAATTGTTCTGGCTATTCTAGATCAATTGAGTTTCCATATAAATGTTAATAGTAACTTTTGATTGGTTTTATGGGGATTACTAAACATTGTCATCTTCAGAACATCAAGTCTTTCAATCCATGATCATATATTTTATCATTTATAACCACATTTGTAGGTTTATGTTTTATTTTGTGCAGAATAATTATTGTAGTAGTGTAGCTTTGGATTCATTTTGAGATAGTGTGAGTTTAATGGCATCAAGTTAATGGTGATGCTTAGAGTGATGTTCAGAAAATGCAGAAAGTGTAGGTTTCTGCCGCTCTCAGTGGTTAGAGAATCACCTGTCCATCTGAGGGGAAAGAAGGATGACTGGAATCAGGGAGAGAGGGGAATGATTACTTCCTTGATTGAAAGACATGATGCTCACAGTGGGGAGGAGACCAAGTGTTGTAAACCCAGATTTTCCTTGATCGTTAATGTTTTAATGTCTAAAACATGGGAAAACTTTATCTAGGTTCGAATATTTTAAAGCCTTTGGCCACCTCTGCTAGCTATTTCCAGAAAGATAATTGCCCAAGACTTTGTAGACTTGTGTGTCCTCAGTAAAATAATAGCCTTTATTTTTATCTGCTAAATGGAAGGTTGATGAGAAGGTAGAATAGTGAAGGCTTTGAAAAGTAAGTATCACAGATTCCCCTGTTTTGTATATGAACTTGGAGATGGAACAGAAGTGAGAAAGACCTTGGAGCCAGAATGGCCTCTAACAGTTTCCTATAGTTAATGTCACTCTACCCCACCCCATCCCACCTCACCCCACCCCCTCAGTGTTGGGGTTTGCCTTGCACATGGTAGGCAAGCATCTGCATCTTCTTTACTGATATTTCAGATATCATTCTGGATCCCAAGTATTAACATCTGGAAATGGATGCCACAGGAGTGCACCCTGTGGCTCACCTTATAATGCCAACAGTAATTAGGAAGAACATTTCCATGTTCTTTTTGGTCTGGGAAGTTTGTCTGTTTCTAAAATTTTGAATTAAAATATTTTTATTATTTTTATTATTATTAGCCTAGTATCCAAGAGTCTCTGCCTTGATATCTAAAGGTGAATTTTTTAAAAAATATTTTCTTTGGAATCTAAAAATCTGTTGTTATCTCATTTTAAGACTTTACAATGTTGTTCTACCAGTGCTGTGAATTGCAATTTTAAGGAAATTGATTTGTACTCCTTTGGCTTCTTCTTAAGAATTGCTGAAGAATTAGAGAATATCTTTAAAAACATACTAATGGCCCAAACTAATTTTGCAGTTTGAGGGATGGGAGGGTACTGGGATTGAACCCAGGGCCTGTGCATGCTAGACAAACTAGTCATCTCTTATGTGAGTTATTTTTTTCAAAACTTGATTTAAAGGGAAGCTTTTTGACCTCTTGTTATCTAGTTAATTTTAATATGGTCTTCGCTTGTCTAGCATCCACAAATTGGCCTAAATTGGGGCATGTATGCGCATCTATTTATATGTCTATGTATAACAATATTTTCCCTAATCCTGGGGCAGTGAGTGTTCCATTTATCTGTGCAGTGAGAGAATATTCAGAGAACTCTTTTTTTTTTTTTTTCCTAAAGAGAGAGCGAGAGAGGGAGGGGGGGGGGGAGAGAGAGAGAGAGAGAGAGAGAGAGAGAGAAGTTTAATATTTATTTTTTAGTTATCGGCGGACACAACATCTTTGTTTTGTATGTGGTGCTGAGGATCGAACCCGGGCCGCACGCATGCCAGGCGAGCGCGCTACCACTTGAGCCACATCCCCAGCCCCCAGAGAACTCTTTATATTCACCTTTAAAGCAATTATCTATAACAAGGATTTAATAAGTCACTCTTTCTCCTCCTTTTCTCCCTTCATTGCTTGTTCCAGGGTAACCAGGAGCCAACAACAACTCCTGACGCAATGGTCCAGCCTTTTACTACCATCCCGTTCCCACCACCTCCACAGAATGGAATTCCCACAGAATATGGAGTGCCACACACTCAGGACTATGCCGGCCAGACCAGTGAGCATAACCTGACACTGTATGGAAATACGCAAGCCCACGGAGAGCAGAGTAGCAACTCACCCAGCACACAAAACGGATCTCTCACGGTATGTGAATTTGGAAGTGGAGGGTAAAAGGGTGCATGTTAGTGCAACTGACTTCACCTTTATTATAAGACCAGAAAACCCTTGGAACTAACTTAGCATTGAGACTCTGTTGCATAGCATGTATGTAATTTCATTTCTACTCCAAGAATTGTGATTAGAAGATAGGGAGTTTGAATTAAAACTCAGTGCCAGGAGCTTTCAGATGAGATTAACAATTCAGCAGAGCAGATGCAGTGGTGAAAGTAAATTTAGGGGGTATGCTGCTCTTTTCAACTTTTCCAGTACTTTCCATTGGTCAAAGACCCATGACCCACCTCTATTCTCACTTCCCCTGTTGCTCTGCAGTATTCTTCATGTTGGTTGTCTCCTTCCTCCTTGAAATGCTCAGTCCTTGGGGTTTTGTGCTCTCTGCTTTTCATTGTAAGCACTGTAAGTTCTGCATGTTCCTCCTCCTCTGTTCAACTTTTAAATATTGCAATGTTCCAAGTTTGGGCACTGAACCCTTTTTCCTATTTCGTATGCTCTCTCTGTACAGTTATACTACCAGATTCACTTAGTTGCTCAAGCAAAACCTAGGAGTCGTTCTTTTATTTCCTTTATCTCTACTTCTAATCCATTAATAAAGCTTGACAGCTGCAACTCCAGAACATTTTACTACTTCAGCCTTTTCTCTTCATCTTACCACTGCAGGAGGGAGAGCTCAGCTCTTCTGCCAGATGGTTGGGGTGATCTCAGCATGGCCCCTCCTAAGAAGTAACACTTTAGGCCAGTTACTTCATCTCCCTTTGCCTTGGCTTAGGAAGGTAAATGAAGGTATGAGTGTCAAATATTAGGAAATGAAGATAATAGTACCTGCCTCAGCAAGCTGTCTGGAAATCTAGAAAGATTCAAGTCAGGTGAGGGGTTTGTCATTGTGGTCACTTCTTCAGACCAAACCTCATCACTTATTTCCCATGTTAACTGCTGCCCGACTCATCCATCCTCTGCATAGCAGCCCAAATAGTTTTTGTTTTTTAATCCAAATTGTGCTATTTTCCTACTTAATTCTTATAGTTTTCTAGTACAACTAGGCTGGACTCAGTTGTTTGGTCCCTAGCCCACCTCTTTGATCTCACCCCTTATGCTTATTAGCCGAAGTAAAAAAAGACATATCAAAAATTAATCATAGATATGTATCACATACATATCAAAGTTCAGGAAATTGTATTGTCTGTGGGATTTTATTCCAAGGATAAAAATATTCTGTACTCTGTATCAAAAGAGAGATCTCTAGTTTTTAGATTTCATTTTTCCCTTTCAGTATCAGATTAACAGGAGGGCTTTAGTCAGACTTGAAGCCACATGATAAGATTTACTTCCAAATGAATATTTAGCCTTGTAATTGCATAAGGCTAGACTTAACCTACAAATACTTTTTATTCTCTTCTATTAGATATTGGACCTCCAAGAAATCCTTCTTTCCTTAAAATCATGCTGTCCTTTTAATGTTGATTAGTTATGTAAAATCTCTTAATTTTATACTTTGTAAACAATGGACTATAATAAACAACCTGGGTGGAGAGTTCAGGCATGACAGGTAACAAATGAGGCTTTCCATAGTATTGGTTCTAGAATCATGAGTATTTGACTCGCTGTGTCAGCTGCATTTCTAAATAATTTTGAAGTGATCATGAATTCACAGACTACCAGAATAGCAATTTCAAAGAAATGAAAAAGAAGTAATAAAATATATATCTGAGTCTTCTTCGAAGTATTTTAATTAGTAACTCTATTTCTATGCTAGCTACCACTCTATGTTAGCTGTTTGTCAGCAAACTAACCAACAAGAACAACTGGGAGGAGGAAAAGTTTATTTTGGCTCATTCCTGGTTGGTTGACTGTGTTGCTCTGGGCCTGAGGAGAGGCAGAACATCAAGGAGGAAGAGTGTAGTGGAGGAAAGCTACACAGCTCAGGACAGCTGTTGCTGGGAGGGGGGGACAGGGACAAGATTAATCCCCAAAGGTACACCTGCAGTGACCTAACCTACAGCCGCACCCAACCTACCCACAATTACCAAATAGCACAGTAGACCTTTCAAATGATTAATCCATCAAATGATGAATCCACCAACAAGGTTATAGCTCTCATAATCTAATCATTTCACCTCTAAACATTGTTGCACTATTGTATAAGCTTACTAGAGGACACTTCAGATCCAAACCATAACACAGTTCTGTTTCCTGTTTTTCTTTTTCTGTTCTCTATTTCTTGACAGTTTTGGTAACTTGTGTTTTTATTTAATTATAAAGTTACTCATCATAATGTCCTATAATCCTTTTAATTTCTATAGGGTCTATAGTAATATCCTACCTTTCATTCTTGATTTTGATAATTTATATCTTTGTTTCTTGATCAGTCTAGCTAAATTTTATTAATTTGGCAGATCATCCCAGAAACAAGCTTTTGGTTTCATTGGTTTTTATTTTGTTGTCATTCTGTTTTATATTCTGTTGCTTTCTACTCTGATCTTTACTCTTTACTTCCTTCTGCTTGTTTTGGATATGATTGGATCTTATTTTCCTGGCTTTTTGTGTTGGAAACCATAATAATTGGTTTTAGGTTTTCTTCTATGTCTAAAGTTATAAATGGGGCTGGGGTTGTAGCTCAGAGGTAGAGCGCCTGCCTAGCATGCATGAGGCACTAGGTTCTATCCTCAGCACCACATAAAAATAAACAAATAAAATAAAGGCGTTCTGTCTATCTACAACAATAAAAAATAAAAACATTTTTTAAAAAAGTTCTTAAGAAGCTGCCAAACTAATTTCTTTAGCTGGATCCCAGAAAAGGTGATATATTGTGTTTTCATGATTTCTCAAATTTCTTTTTTTTTCATTTATAATTCATTTATAGTGAAAACATAACTTGGTATACTTTCAGATGTTTAAGTTATAGAGACTTGATTTATGGTTTAGTAGTCTATCCTACATAACATTCCTAATCAATTGACCCTTTTTTCAGTATGAAGAGTCCCTCTTTGTCTCTATTGATATTTCTTCATTTTGTTTAGTATTAATATAGCCACTTAATCACTTGTATGGTTGCTGTTTCATGACATCTTTTTCCATTGTTTTGTTCCAACCTCTTTGAATCTGAAGTTTGTCTCTCGTTTTAAAATGTGTGTGTTGTGCTCGGGTTGTGGCTCAGGGACAGAGTGCTTGTCTAGCACATGTAAAGCACTTGTTCCAATCCTCAGCACCTCATAAAAAAGTAAACAAAATAAAGTTATAAAAGAAAAAGTTTTTGTGGGTATATACAACTGGATCTTATTTATCTAGTCTGAGTGTGTGTGTGTGTTTTTTTTTTTTGTGTGTGTGTGTGTGTGTACAGCTAGACCTTGATCTTTCTTCTTTATCTATTCTTAAAATTTCCATCTTATTGTTATAGCATTTGGTCTACTATATTTTGATATAATTATTAATATGGGTAGATTTATGTCTGCCATTTTATTATGTCTCATGTCTTTATTTCTCTTCCTGCATTATCAGTTTCTGTTAAATAATTTGTGTGTGTGTGTGTGTGTGTGTGCACGTGCACGTGCACGTGTACGTGTGCACGCATGCTCAAGCATAGGTACATGTGTAGTACTGGGAATTAAACCCAGGGCCTCACACATGCAAGGCAAGTGCTCTACCACTGAACTACAACCCCAGTCCCTCCATTAGGTTTTTTTTTTTTTTTTTATGTTTATTTTTTAATTGTACACAATACCTTTATTTTGTTTATTTATTTTTATGTGGTGCTGAGGATCAAACCCAGGGCCTCGCATGTGCTAGGTGAGTGCTCTACCTCTGAGCCACAACCCCAGCCCCCCTTCATTAGTTTTTATTGTTTTTCTTTTTTCTTTTGTACTGGGGATTGAGCCCAGGGGTGCTTAACCACTGAGCTACATCCCCAGCCCTTTCTATGTTTTACTTAGAGAGAGGGTCTCACTAAGTTGCTTGGGGCCTTACTAAGTTGCTGAGGCTGGCTTTGAACTTGTGGTCCTCCTGCCTCAGCTTCCTGAGCCACTAGGATTTCAGGTGTGTGTCACCATGCCCAGCTATTGTATCTTTTTTATTAGTTATTTTTGTTTGTATTATTGTCCTCATATTTTCTTAGTGCTTGGTCAAGGAAATACATCTTTGATTTAACACAAAATCTGTTGATGTGTGTATGTTTGTGATGTGTTTTTCTAGTAAAATAAAGCAATTTTTCGTTCCCCATACTCCTTTACATACACACACACACACATACATGTACATATATATACTAAAATTTATATATATCAGATATATAAGATACTATATATAGTAGAAATGCAGCAATAAAATATAATTACTACTTTTAGCAATCTTATGTGTTTTTTAAAAACTATCAAAGTTAGGAAGAAGGTATAGACATAGTCCATATACTTTCTGGTCCCATATATGTATTACTTCCCCTATTATCAACATCCCAGACCAGAGCAGTACATTTTTTTTAAACTGATAAAGCTATATTGATACATCATTATCACCCCAAGTTCATAGTTTACATTAGGGTTCACTCTCTGTGGCGTACATTCTGTGGGTTTTGATAAATGTATAAGGACATTTATCTGCCATTATAGTATCATGAAGAGTAGTTTCACTGCCCTAAAAATCCTGTAATCCTTTTCTTTATTCTTCCCTCCCCTATCTCCCCTGCTCTTTTTACTGTCTACATAGTTTTGCCTTTTCCAGGATGTCATATAGTTGGAGTCACACAAAATGTAGCTTTTTCAAATTGGCTTATTTCACTTAGTAATAGGCATTTAAGTTTTTTTTCATGTGTTTTCATGACTTAGTTCACTTCTTTTTAGCATCAAATAATATTCCTTTATATAGTTGTTCCACAGTTTATTTATCCATTTATCTATTGAAGACATCTTTGTTGCTTCCAGATTTTGGCAATTATGAATCAAGCGGCAATAAACATTAGTGTGCAGGGTTTTTCTGGATTT